AATTACACTATCGGGACCCACAAAAGTGTTCTTATATAGAACATATACTTATAATGCTTAGTTGGTTCAAAAAAATAAATATGCTTATGTAGGTGATGTATTTATATAGGAGCAGTGAAAAAATTCGATGTGCACATATCGCTCCGCACATAAAAAATTTTTGCACACAAAAAAAATATAAAATTGTGCACAAAGCACACAATTTATTAGCAGTATATTTTAAATCATATGTGCTATATAGTTAATAAATTAAAAGTGCATATTATATTTAATAATATGTGTGGCGCACAAACAATAAATTTAAAATTATATGCGCAATGCGCACATAATTTTGATTTGAATTTTTTTTTCTGTATAGGAGGTGCTTATATGAGAGTGCAACTGTATTAATTACATAAATAGTCTAGCAACGAGTAACAAATTATTAAAAAATAAAAAAAAAAAATTTTATTATTAACTTGTAACACAATTTTCAGGTATGGATTGAAGATTTTGACAAAGAAATAAAAAAATCAAATCATAATGTTTTACTCATCCTAGATGGTGCCTCTTCACATGTTACTGGTACTGTTACTCTAACTAATATAGAAGTACTTAAGTTACCTCTATATATAACATCAAAAATATAGCCCATAGACACTGGTATTATTGTATCATTTAAGACTCATTATCGTCGCATGCAACTTCAACATGCACTGGATCTTGATGAAGCTGGGAAACGCGATATATATAAAGTCGATCAATTGCAGGCTATGAGATAGGTAAAGGTTAGTGTTAGTATTTTAACTATGTTCATATTTTTTAAATACAGTAAATTTGAGCATAGTTTAAATATTATATGTTCAATTAAAAATTGCTGCTATATCGCTACGAAATAATGCCCCAGGGCGTTATTTAGAGACACATTGCTTGAAGAGAGCTAATAATTATTAATTCTCTTCAAGCAATGTGTCTCGAAATAATACCCCAGAGCATTATTTCGTGATGATATGGTATGTTCATATTTTTTTTAATTAGTCTAAATATCAATACTTTTAACACTAATAAAGATTGCCTGGAATGAAATATCTGCTAATATGATTAAAAATTGCTGGTTTCATATGAAAATTATATCTCTACGTAATGAGGATGGTGTACTAGTTGTCCTATCTCCTCCACACCCTCTTATCGAAGATGTGGAAGAAAGCTTATTTGTTGATCCAGATGATGAATTAGCCATCATGGAGCTCTAGCAAATGATAGATGCATTGTGCATTTGTAATCCAATGTCAATTAAAGATTTGTTAGACCTTGAGGAGAAAAAAACAGAGATATACCAACAATTTAATGATGATAACTTTGTGCAAGCTGCTACAGAAATAGACCACGTAGAGAATGAAGTCATTATACAACCATTAACTGGACAAGAACAGTTGAAAATTCTGTGCAATGCTCTGCAAATCGTTGATAAAAAAATTGATGATGGTAGAATTACAATGAAGGCTTTGCGTAAGCTTCAAACATGTATTCGTGAGAAGATCTGAAAGGAAGAGGCTAAAAAACAAGTTCAATCTATACTGGATCAATTCTTTCAAAGGCTTGAATAATAAATAACATCACATATTAATAAATCAGCTTTGAAAAATTTTAATTACAAATAGGTAAGGTTTCTTCACAATTAAATAACAAAAAAAAAAAAAATTATAATCTCGTATGACTTCATGGTAATACTATGATGGGCAAAAATATCTGATATAAATAATAAATAGTTAGTTACTTATCAGTTATTAGTGGATATAAAGTGTCGATTGTATCTTGCTTAGTGTTAGCTAGTAGAATAAGTTAATAATTTAAGTTCATTTTCGACACCTCATTTTAAAGATCATTAATGCAAAATTCTGCATACCATAAAATATCATATACAACACAGTACCTAGGCCTAGTTCATAGATCTTAAAGCTTTCGATAAATTTATGAGTTTATTGAAAGCAAAAGATTTGAAGCACGTACACGAATTTAACATGCAAAGAAGTGTCTGTGCGTGCAAACATACTGTACGTACATACGTATAACTGTAACGTTGTATCACATAATATTGACAACTTTTATACGATTTGATTAGATATCTTACACGTGATATTATCCAATAAATCGGAAACATAGATATAAAGGTTACCGGTTATCAGAAATTACAGGTTATTAGATATTAATTATGGAACAGGCATGGTGGCTTGATTTTTAACCGATTATAGCAGGTTATTGGTTTTGACAAGATCGGTTTTGGAAGGGTTGACTGTAATATATAAATTATATATATATTTTAATAAATCTTTAATATTAAATAACTTTTGATCTACTGGTCCAATTTGGATGATTTAACTGTCAAAATGTTCGTCTTAATGAGATGATTTTAATGAGTCCAAAATCGTTAAAATCTAATAACAGAATCCTGAGATCGTTAAAGTTTCTTGTACTATTTTGTATATAATAAAATTAATTTTATTATATACGAAATAATACAAAAAACCTTAACGATCTCAAGATCCTGTAATTGAATTTTAGTGATTTTGAACTTATTAGAATCGTCTCATCAAGACGAACATTTTGATAGTTAAATCATTCAAATCAGACTAGTAGATCAAAAGTTATTCAATTTTAAAAATATTAAGAAGATTTTTAATAATTAATTAAATTGGCTAATCAGAATCAAGCTAGGGGTGATCACACTATACATAGATGGAAGTAGCTACTAAGTAAAAAATATTATATAATAAATGGTACACCCTAACTGCAATAAATCTTATATTTTACTTAATTAGCAATTCACATAAGAACAGAAAATTTTAATTATAAAAATTGGAGATAAATATTTATATAGTTTTAATAGTAATATGGAATCCAATTTCCCAAAATTATATAGTAAAAAGATGGGATTTTTTAAAATTCAAAATTTTAGCTCTTAGTAAAGTATCTTTTATTTTTAAAAAATTTTACCAGACTTTTAATAAAAAGAAAGCCAAATACCATATATTTATGTCTATATAATTTAATTTTATATTATATTTCAACTATTAATACTTTATATTGTAGGCAAACTAAATTCCAGTATTTCAGAATTTTATAGTAAATTTGCTCTACTTTTATTATATAAACTGTCCTGTTCTTATGTGAATTGCTAATTAAGTATAAATATGGGCTATCAAAAGTAGAAACCAAGGAATTTGACAATTTTTTGAAAATTAACCTGTTTGATTAATCAGGTATATAATTTAAAACCCAATTTTTTTTATTTAATAATAAAAGCCTAATTACTTAATAAATTTTTGCGATATGATAGTTAAAAGCTTTTGACACTATAATCTAAAAATAGGTTTACTAAGATTTACTGTACAATCTACAGTTCTACAGATCTAATAATTCTGTTTAAACAGGTTTGTTAATATTGAATAACCTATTTTTAGATTGTTTTAATTTTGTGTAACAAAATAGTTTTTTCCGATTTTCTCAAAACCTGTGATTGGCCAAATTTTCTAGTTTCTACTTTTGGGGGCCTATATAGTAATTGTTATCAATCTTTTAATATATCTATTGTTAAAGTAAACCTATTATATCTGACTTATAAAAGGTAGTTTTAGTATAATATTACTCTAAAATCATGAATCTATCTACAATTGAAATTAAAAACTTGTAATCACAAACTTGCTTATTATTGAAATCACAAATCTGCTTACTGTTAGAACTGTTAGAATTATGAGCCTGCCTACTATTAAAATAAAAAATCTGTCTAGCTATTGAAATATAAATTCATCTACTGCTAAAATTACTGCTATTAAAATTATGCGCTCTATTGTTGAAATTATGATATTGCTTACTGCTGAAGACACAAACTTGTCTATATATTACCACTACTGAAATTATAAATCTACCTTCTTAAATCTGCCTACTATTAAAATTATTAATATATTTATTGTTAAAATTACTAACCACGTATTGCTAAAATTGTAAACTTAAGGGTGTGGCGACTTAGTGAAGTGGTTAAGTTGTCACACCCCCAAGCGATATATCGGCCAGGTAGGAGATTCGAAACCCACCGGTGACGAATTTCGAATATTCTGCTTGTATGACAGCTACTGTCTTTCGATGATCGGTTGGAACGGGATCTCTGTAACCTTGGTAGTACCAACAAGATTAGAAGATCATAGGGCATTCGTGTAATGTATGAGTTACACGAAA